CGCGAGCGCAGCAGGTCGCGGTGGCGCCGGGGGCGCAGAGCCGCGCGAGGGACGGGGGACGCGGGGCAGCCGCCGGGGCAGCTCAACCCGAGCGGCGGGGCATGCCGCGCGCGGCGGCGTGCAACTCGGTCCCAGGCCCTGGCGCGGCCGCTGCACAGCACCCACTGCGCCTCAGCTCCTGCGCCGCCGCTGTTGCTGCTGCTACCGCCGCGGCCGCTCCACTTCTACAGACTTGATTCTTCGACAGCTCCGCACGGCGCCTGCGCGGCCCCCTCCCTCCCTGGCGCGCGCGGCCCCGTGCGCCCGCCCTCCCTCCGCGCTCTCGCGCGCGCCGCCCTGGATTCTTCCGTTTCTCAATCGCGTGCGCGCAGGGACTGAGAAGCTGAGTTCACGCGGCCCAAGTGCTGCAGGTGTGCAGGTCGCGTCCCCACGAGTCCCGCGTCACCCGCCTACCCAGCCAGTTTGCTCCACCCCGAAGCCGTGTTGTTTTTTACTAAGTCGTGCAAACCGTTTTATTTCATATGCAATGCCACTTTGTCACTTGGTTACTGGCAGCCTCCTGAGCATGGAATGTAGGGCATAGCGAGGCGCACTTTGGACTTGTTAGAGCCTCACTTGGCTTCAGCTGGGCGCGCGCACGCAATCACTCCCGTGCTCTGTTTTGGTCGAGGAAGCAACAACACACAGCCGCTGCCCCTTTAAGTTTTACAAACTCCGGGCCGCCTGGTGCGCTGAGGCAGGCCCGGCCTCCTTTGCGCGTGCACTGAAAAGAGGACGCACAGCCCCTAGGCTCATCAGGCGCCGCCGCCCAGCGTCTTATGTAGGTCTGTGCAGCAAGCGCGTGACGTGGGCAAGGGACGCGGCCACTGCGCAGGCTCCACATAAGACGTGCCCAGCGCCGCGGGCCCTGGGGCCGCGCCGAGCTAGTGCACATTCCAGGGATCTGGGCTCTGCAGCTCGCCGGGTCATGGCTCAAGACCCGCCCCCGGCCTCGGGCTAGTAGGCCCTGCCCCACCACCTCCACCGGGCCGAACTTGGAGTAGCCACTCCGGGCGCGGGCTGCCTCCTTTGCGCCTAGGGCGTGCGCTGGCGGGTAGACTTGGCTGTCTGTTGTACCATCCGGCTTAGCCCAGTGGGCACAGACGCGCCTGGCCGCCTTGCTTCGTTGCTCCCTTCCACGGTGGGCAGTGCGGGCTGCCCAGAGTGGACGGAACACCAGTTATACACTTTGGTAGGGGGCAGGGACTGGTGTGTGCTGTCTGTGGTCGGTCAGTCAGGCTCTTATTTGAGACCTACACGCTCAGTTGGCTCTGAGTAAGAGCTGTTTTTGTGGTGAACAACGCAAGTCCACCTCTCTCCCCAAGGCTGGAATGGATTGGTTAAGTGTGGGAAGAACAGGGTACTAAGTACACTAGCTTTCCTACAACTGGATTGGAAGGTGGAAAGGGAGGGGGAAAATTCTGCTGACGTTTTTCTCTGGTTGCTGCTATTGAAAAATGCCAGGTTGCTTCAAAGAGTAGCCACAAGAGGAAACACGCCCCATGGAGAAGCAGCTCAGGGAGCTGTTTAGAGCACAAGAATAAACCTGTTGGAGGTGGCACAGAAAGCTTAACGCCAGATGCCAAGGGCGTCCACAGGCTAACCTTGAACGTCTCTCTCGGGGCTTTCCAGAGAAGGTACATCTGTGTCAAGGGCCTCCCCATCTCTCCTTCCAGTCACAAGCCTGCCTCACCCTCTCCAAGCCTGGAATGGGGCCTACCCGGATCCATTCCCAGAAGCAGCTGGTGCCAGCTGGTTTGGGCACCTGCTCCAGGACCTGTCAGTCTGGTCACTCTCTTCCAAGACCCTGTGTCACTCATCTGAGCACGTGATTTTGACCGTGGAGATCCAGAGTGGAGATGAAGCTGCCCTGACTGCAGAGTCATCTCAGTGCCCTAAGAGATGGACCAGTAGGCAGACACCGAAACATTGCAGACACCGAAACATTAAAACAAAACAGGACCTCGCATGAAAGCCTGGCCTGATTATACTCGGTCCACCTGCCAGCGGCCCTCAGTGCCCTCTCCAGGGAAAGCCACCACTACAACCCAAAATAGAATTACTGAGGTACAATGTCTGCCTTGAGAAACGCTAAGTGGAACTTTACTTCTCCAAAAGACCGGCATTTCCTTTGTATTTCACACTGGCTTCGTGTTGAAAGTGAACTGTTAGAACTCCCCCCTCCCCCAACCCCACACGAATGCCTGCTGGAAAATAGAAAGGCTATTTTAGATCTGGGCTGTCCTCTGTAAAAAGCAACCCCCAGGCTCCAGGGGGTTAAGGCAGGTCCTGGATCCAGGGCAGCAATTCTTTATAGTGTATCAACAGCCTTTCATGCTGCCTGGTCTTTCATGTAACTCCGGAGCCGGTTTTCTTTTCTTTTTTTTTTTAATCGATGTATGCTAAGTAAACATAGCTTTGTTTCTATCTTCCACCCACTGCCCTCCCTCCTGGTGCAGACTGGAGCTGGATCCTGTCCAAAGCGGCTGCTGCTGGAGTTACAGCCTGCCTCCTCCACACACAGGAGCGGGGTTTCTAGGGTGAGGCAATGCGTCTGCAATTCGCACAGACAAGGCAGGAATTGTAATTGTAGCTCACCATGTGACGACTTATGAAAGAGGAAGTTGGTATGTTTTAGTCACGTAGTCTGCCCTCTTGCTTAAGGCTCCGGGTCCTCCCAGAAGAGAGTCAAGATGAGCTTCGCTGCTCAGAGTCAAGGTTACAAGATTGGCTGCAGCATGTGTGTGTGTGTGTGTGTGTGTGTGTGTGTGCATTCCTTAGTGGGAAAGCAGGCAGATGCAGTGGGTTGAGGCTGGCGCTTGCCCAGAACACGGAAAACTTGTGATTTGTCTTAAGAACTGAAGGAAATACATTACAGGGAGGGGTTCTGTGGAGACTAGACAGAGCGACAGTTTTCCTGGCTTTAATTCCAAAGATCTCTCCTTTTAAATACAGATCTGTTTAGGGGCACCGGAAAGGATTCTGATGCATAGGTCCATGGGCAAAACAGATCTCAGCCTATACTCACAATCTTGGACATTAACATCTGAACTGTGAATCTATTCCCCAGGCCTCACTGCAGAGGAGTTACCCCCCTGTGCATGCCAGGGAGCCCTGTGCCCACAGTCTACGGGACAGGGTGCCATGAGAACACCCACGTGGAGTTCTACCTTCAGGACCCAGCAGAATTATGGGTGCTTTATGCCACAGCCTCCTAAATTTGTGAACTCCACCCTGTATCCAGACGTGGATTAATGGCGCCCCTTCCGTACAGAGCAGCTTTAAGTGACAATCATCTTGAGGACTTGGGGAACAGGCACGGTGGCTAAGCACTTGCTATATAAGCCTGAGGGTTTGAGCTAGAATCACTAGGATTCCTGTAAGCCAAGCACTGTGTGACCATTATCTCAGAGTTCAGAGAAAGGAGAACTCCCTTGAAGCTTAAGGACCACCTACCTGTTCTACAAAACAAGAAAGGACAAAAGACCCTGTCTCAAACAAGATGGAAGGCAAGAATGGATACCTGAGGTTTGACACTTACCTCCGCAAATGTACCTGTACTCATGTTCACATCCTCCCTCTCTCTCCCTCTCTTTCTCTCTCTCTCTCTTTCTTTCTCTCTCAAATGGTATTAAAAGCCACAGTAAGGCCTTCTCACCTGTGACCTCAGCTTCTGTGAAGGAGAAAATAATGGGACACACGTTATTTGCATTTCTGTGGGTAATGTTGCCCACCTCACTGACTTTGGCAAAAGCGCGGGGGTGGGGGGTGTAAAACCAGAAGAGCCTGTTAATATGAATAATTTCCAGAAACTGTAAATACGACAACAGTAACAAACCTTCTAGAAGGGCCCTTCTTCTAAGCAATGGCATTTATGGGGTGATCTCTTGGATTTTTGAGTGCTTTCCCTCTGATGGACCTCTTTTAGAAAAGCGGTTGAGTGTGGAGCATCTAAGAACCAGGTCAAAGCACAGAGGCTTTCTAAGCACCCACGCCATATAAGCTGAGCTGCTGCCATCAGTGTCTGTCTATATCCATACAGGTCCCCATCTAGAGCAAGGCTGGGGTCTTGATGTATGTTAACTACCAGCATGTTGGAATTTAAAGACTCAAGCAAAGGGAAGAAGTGTAGGAAAAACAGATAAAGGAAAGACTGAGGTCATACCCTTGTTCGATCTGCAAGGAAAATTTCAGGAGACCTGGAAGAGATTCAATAGTCTTGGAGCTAGGACCCCCTTTCTATTGGCTTTTGGAAAGGAGCTGGAGGGAGTGTTCTTAGATGGCTGTGGTTTTTGTGTATAGTTAAAACACTGGCTGGAGTCCTTTGAAAGATAAGCCATAGGAAGACGTGTGGACAACGTTTGAATGTATTAAAAGCCCAGTATCCACTCATTAGCTTTCCGGCTTAAAAAAACGAACGTTTGCCACAGTTGAACTCAGTCCTGCAAAGGGAGCTGAGATAACCAAACGCTGCTGCAGCTCTGAAGGCCACAGATAGTAAGTGATGACGTGATATTTCTTGCATCTCTCATAGA